AACTCTCAGGGAGAATGACCCCCAATCCACTCCTGATGACCTCCAAGTGTACAGTCATCCTCAAGCAGCTAAGTTGGTACATACTTGGGGGAGACAGCATGAGAGAAATCCTTCTGTTTTCCACAACCTACCATTCCATCACGTGCTATTTGGTTTGCGTCCTCTAACAAGGTAGGCATCATCCTTCATTAGTGGTCAATAAAAACAGCTGTAGCCGAGACCACAGCTTGCCAGCCCCTGATGCAGATCTGTGCCCTCTTTGATTTGGCACTTAGTTTTTTCCTTTTTTTTCTTCATTTGCTCTGATGTGGAAAATAGTGCTAGAAAGAATGGCCCCCGTTTAGAGTTAGTAAAGTGTCCTCACCTCTCTGTTTGTCTGATGAGTATATACTGAATCCTAAAAGCCGCTTAAGCTGCATCTGAGACAGTAAGGCAACTCCTGCTGATTCTCCCTGACTAATGGCCTTTCCCATCCACAGGGCCCTAACCTGATTATAAAGCAGCCAGATGAGTTGCTGGACAGCATGTCAGATTGGTGTAAGGAGCATCATGGGAAGGTAACCTTACCACATAACAGGATTGCTGCTTTGGGGCTCCCAACCAGCTGGTTGCTCCCACCTCTGAATCCTATCCCATCGTTGGCTGGCATTGTCAGGGTTAGCGGAAGATTGCTTGGCAAGCCTGGGAAATGGCTGCTTTCCCTTTCGTCTCTGGGGCCTCTCGAGATCACCTTCTCCCCGGTGTCCTCCTTTCTTCTCTCTCCTACACTCAGTCTGTCGCACACGCGTTGTGGAGTCTCACGTGTTGCTCAGGTCTGTCTGGTGGAGAAGGTTAGACATCAGCCTTGCAGAGAAGGGGGATTGCTATTCTCTTAGTAATTGTTCTCCTCAGAGGTTATATCCTGGGACTTTGAGCACCAGTTCCCCTATCTCCCCACCCCCCACCTCCCACCCCCCCACTGTGTGGAAATGCGAATAACTATCAGGAACAGTTGGTTTGACTTGGATTCTTTACAAACAAACAAAAAATTGTAAAGACGGCTTTAGAGCTCCAGTTTGGATTTGAACTCTTAAAAACCGGTCTCGGTGGTTATATTTGCCTATGTGAGAAGTGAAGTTTCATGTCTGGATGCCTTTGAAAACCTGACTTCATGTGTTTCTGGTGGGGCTGGGGATTCTCTCTTGCAGTCTGGCCTTACCAAGGCTGTGAAGGAGAGCACAGTTACACTGCAGCAGGCAGAATACGAATTTCTGTCCTTTGTACGACAGCAGACGCCTCCAGGGCTCTGTCCACTCGCAGGTAAAGCCCAGCCCTTTGTCTCCCTTGTAGATAGTCCTCTGTTGTGGTGGTTCACGATGCTGCACTTCCAGGAGGACCCGCCAAGTCATCCGTGGCTTCCACGCAGCCCGAATTTGGGTCCCATGGCTGCTTTTTTACGTTAAGGCTTCCGTGTTTAGTTATAACACGAATCATGGGAAAATGTCCCCAAACCTGACATGAGCTCTTAGAAACGCAGACCAAAAAAAATCAAAGGCCCCTCCACCCCCACCCCTTTTCACCCTCGAAGAACTGCACGTGGACGGGAACGTCGGGTGCTGTCAGCTGCAGCCTTGTGCTGTGTGTGTGTCTCCCTTGTTGTTGTTGAACATTTTGGAAGTAAACATTTCTTTAACCATCTCAACGAAGGGCATTCCCTTGCATAATTACAATGTCATTGTCACAATTAAGACCATGAGAAATGATTTGTGGCTTTGAAGTTCCCCAAGATGCCCATATGCTTGTTTTTGAACCAGAATTTTAATCAGGGGTCCATGCATGTTAATTGGTTATTATATGTCTCTTTAGTCTGTTAACCAACAGCTGCCCACCTATCTCTCTTTCCCTGTAACATTGATTTTAAGAGACCAGACCAGTTATAATAGGATATTTGAAAGGACTGCCACTGTCAAGAGTTAAGTGACTGTACCTTGGTGATGTATTTGCTTTTGTGTATGTTGTTAACTGATGTGGTAATACTCCCCTTCAACATTTGTGAAAAACGTTTTGGCTCAAGCACCAGAGCATATATTGTGTTACTTATTCTGTCCAGTTAATGTGGCCAGTGTCTATTTTTAAATCCTAACTTAAACAAAAAACAAACCCCCAACAGCAGTGTTTTTCTTATGAACAACTGTATGGAATGTGAATATGGACATGATTTGTTTAAAAAATAACTGGAATCGAAATAAATGGTTTATTGACTTCTGTGATTCAGTACAAGTTTTTAGCTTCAGCAGTGTGGATTTCCTGACACCCGGAGAACACTTGCACATCTGGTGTGGTAAGATGAAAAGTAGCAGTTAGAAGTGTGTGATACGGAAACACATGGTCCTGGAGACTTGAGTGTTCTGTCCACGGGAGAGGCCGTTTGCAAATTTATTAGGCGCTAGACTGACTAAGTAACTCAGAAAGCGGCATTTGGAACCTAACCAGACGTTCTCAGACGGATGGAGAAGTTTTGAAACGCTTTTTGGAATTGTTTAAAATCAAAGCGAAAAGGAACAAAATCATCTCCATTTCAATAGGACTTTTCCTGCCCGTGTATACTAGAAATACACAGACACAGTGTGCTTTGTGTCTTTCTAGGAAATTCAGTTCATGCCGATAAGAAGTTTCTTGACAAGTACATGCCTCAGCTCATGAAACATCTTCACTACAGAATCATTGACGTGAGCACTGTTAAAGAGCTGTGCAGGTAAGGCTGGATTTAGGCGCCGTCAAATTGCCT